CCTGAGGCTGTGCCGTACACTGACTGACTACATTTGTTTATTTACTTCTATACTATTGTATAATATGAGAGCAGGACCGAAAACTGTCACTGTWATCAAGCCTAATGAGTATCAATGGAAATTTAAATGTTTAGGGAAAAAACCGCGTTTTTCAAGTATTCGTCAAATTTTTTCAGTATTTTTAAGATCTACTATCCTACTTGTAGCGGAGACAAATCCAACAAATCAAAAACCATAAAAATTGGTCCAGCAGATCTCGAGTTATAAGTGGAGAAACACTTTTACACAATACTCTTTTTTATATATATAGATTATGTTTACATATATTTCTATATGTGGGCATTCCACTAAAAAGGTTAACCACAGCAAAAAAATTCAAAGTCAATGAAAATATGTTCTGCTAACATATTTTCATACCCTGCCCTAATCAGGGCAACGAGCTGAGTCAATTTAGCCCTGTCCGTCTGTCTGTCCGTCCATATTTAAGAACGCGTCGATCTCAGAAGATATAAGAACTAGACTCTTGATTTTTTCCTAGGTCCGTGAATATCACGCTCATATCGAGTTTTTCTCCCAAAATAACTACTCCCAATATTTTGTTATTGATTAAACCCCTTATCGAAAACTAGTTATTTAATTATATCTCTTACATCTATAGAGCTACAGTCTACAAACTTTAAATGCACACTCAAATGTATTTTATATAATTTCGATTTTGTTGTAATTTAACCCCCAAACCCAAATATCCACACACACACACATACTCACAGTTGACAGGAGCTGGACTCGAGCTAGCAACGCACAAAACTGAAGTCGTCCTAGCAGGCAGTAGCAAAAACGTGGAAACTGCCAATATAAAGATAGGCAACGTCAGCATCACATCAAAGAGGGCGATAAAGTATCTTGGCGTCATGTTAGACGCGAGATTATCTTTCCGCGAACACTTAGAATGTGTGCATAAAAAGGCAGCTGATTCTTGTGGAGCTCTCTCAAGAATTATGCTTAACACGCGGGGACCTAAACAGCAACGACGTCTCCTTCTAATGAGCGTCATAAGGTCCGTCATCTTCTATGCTGCGCCAATATGGGCAAGAGCGATTGCAACGCCGAGCTACAGCCGGGCCATTTGCGCCATCTACAGACTGAGCGCAATCAGAGTCAGTAGCGCTTTCAGGACTGTCTCAGATGGTACCACTGGAAGATTTGGTCACACGCGACTGCGCGACGCAACGCTATCAGGGCGAACATCGAGCGAATAAGAAAGCTGTCCCAGACTAAAGTAGCGCATAGTGCTTGCGAAGCAATGCTTTACGGCCGTCCTGCAATCATCGCACGCTATCCCAGTCACCATGCATCTTGTAATATAGCTATATAATTTTGTTAATAAGCGAATAAAAAACAAGTAAGAAAGCTGTAGTCGAGACTGCTCGACTACAAGATCCCCTGAACCCTTCGAGCGATAGATATTTCAATCATTTTTCGCTTCTTTCTGCTTACACAAGACACACACACAGACACACACGCCCACGCATAAACACTCATTGGCTGCAGTGAGCGCTTACTATGAGAACTTATTTGCTTAATAACGATGTTTAATAACTATTTTACGATCTTCATGAAACTTTCAGATTCGATTCTGTACTCGAGCATTATTCCATTGTCAAAGAGAGACCTCTGTATCGATCAATAATTTTAAATATACGAGGAAAATGCTGATACCTCGCTGTCATCGTATAACATAATCTAGATAATACTCATAGATGGAGGAGGAGGCAATGCATGCATTTATTTGGGTACTAGATCTAAGATCTACGATCTTACCTGTATGGAGCAAGAATAATTATGGTATACACAGACCACCAGGCATTGACATTCGCTTGTGGGAACAGTAATTATAATGCCAAGCTGAAATGTTGGAAGTCTAGGATTGAAGAATACAATTGTAAACTTTTTTATAAACCAGGCAAATCAAATATATTCGCAGACGTTCTTTCACGAATTCCACCACAAGTCAATACACAGAGCACAGGTTCTGCCTCAGATTTCATAGTAACGGTACACGGTGCCCTCCAAGATGCTTCAGATTTAATCCCTTACATGGAAGTGCCCATCAACGTTTTCCGAAACCAGTTAATATTCGACCCATATATAACTATGATTACCAGAATCGTAAGAGGAAGGCTCCAGTCGCGACTGCTTGACTGGGAGATAGCCTGAACCCTCTAAGCTGATATTCTACTCATTCTGCACATCTTTTATGCACACATGTAAACACACACATCCACACGCACGTAAATCACGCGCTCTACGAAAAATCAATTTTTCGATTATTCTCTTATCGGACGAGTTATCGTATGATATACACGAGTCTACATTTAAAATTTCAGCTCTCTAGCTCTTATAACTTCTGAGATCTAGGCGTTCATACGGATGGACGGATAGGGCTATATCGATATATAGCCCATTTTCTATGGGTTCAGGGTATAAAAAGAAGAGATAAAGAGAGAAAATGCTGAAGTCCGAAGATTGAATATTTCTTCTCAATTATATCCTTAAAGAGATTTTTGAACTGGATTTTATGTTAAAGTTATATGCATGTATTTAACAGAGTTAACAATTACTTTACAGCAAGTACAATTGATTTGATCAGTGATTGACATTATATATATAATCTGAAATCTGTACTAACTATAATAATCACTTAGTTACTTAGTTGTGCATTTATATATAATTTAAATATAATATTTAAAATCTTCCAAATTACCAATTGAATAAATAATCGATTTCTTGACATTGATCATTCTTTAAAACGTGAAAATATATATTTTGTGCAGTATCCGATTTTGATCTTGAAGCTACAAATTTCAAATATATACTTGTGTGTCTAGGCCCTATTGTGAGTATAAGCTCCTAAAACTAGTTGGATAATTATCGCTTTGCTTTTATTTTATTTCAAATAATCCGAATGTTTTTCGACAGGTCACCAGTAAATTCCAGGTCGATTTTCCTTTTGAAAAATTCAAACTTCTCTGCTTTGATTAGCTGTAGGTATTGATTCCGGATTTCTTTTTCTTTTTAACAATAATATCTTTTAAATAGAAAGATGATTTTAATTGTATTTATATTTTAAACTTTAGCGAACTGTTAACTAAACTGCAGCACTCTATTCATCTCTGTCTTTTTTGGTTTCTTTGATATAGGTACTGGAATCTCTGTCTGTCTAGCCTGGCCTACAGCCATTTACATTTTCTAAATTTATAAGCAATCGAACGTTGATGTACCTACTTGGAGTGCTTAACATATGAATTTAAAATAGGCTCCCATCCTCATTCTACTAGGCAGGCTGCTCCCGACTATTGGGCGGATAACGAGTCATCACGAAATCGTAGTTTCAAATTAATTCGAAAGCCAGGCCCTATAGATTCTTTTGGATGATCATTGCGATTATAATGATTATTCGAACAAGAATATGAACAGTTTGCTTTTATATTCACATATATAACTTATAAAAATTATTCTTTTGGACTGTCTAAAGACAAACCGAACAGACTTTTTTGGCTTCCTGAACATACATATATGTACGTACGTGTATACGTGTATATGTACATGTACAAATTAGGGAACGCTTCTGTGTACCACTTGGATTCATTATTAACCGATTGTAGAACGGCAAAGTCAGCTTTCTAATCACACCTCACATATTTCCGTACTAGTTTACAGTTGGAAAAATTAAACAGAAGATGTCGCATTTCGGCCACTATCGATCGTTAGATTTGAAGCGCGCATGCTGAGGGAAGCCAAAGACAGATTGCTACGATAGATGGCGCTTGGCGAAGCATTCGCTGTTAGCAGCAAATCCGTATTCTCTATGCTCGGAACGGAACAATTCTTTAGGCCATTGCAAAAAACAGCTGTGTCGTTATTGATCGATCGAGCTGGCAACGTATGCATTGTTGGCAGCAGCGTTTCGGAGTTCAGCGTGCTGAGAAATCCATCGAGATTCAAGCCATTTGCATTTAGCGCCACGGTTCGGGCGCTATCTTCATCACAGTTCTCGCTTTCAGACGCGCTTTCATTATGCCCGTAGAGCTGAAGACGGGAGCTTAACAATTTATTGCAAGCAGGACACGATCGACTCGACAGACTTTTATCACGTCGTCGAAAGATTTCTTGAGCACATCTAAAAATAGAAGAATAAACAAGTAAGCAAACTCTAGTCGAGAATGCTCGACTAGATACTACCCTGAACCCAACTAATAAAAATGCACATTTAGTATGGCTAAAATTTCAATTTTGATGTATTTAAAAATATAAATGAAATACAAAACTCACTTAATAAAATATAAAAATATTTTGAAACAATTAAAAAAATTAGCATCAATTGCACCGCTCGGTGCGCGAACCCGCGACTTTCCGATCGAGTGTCACGCAGCTACTCACTACGNATGGAATTTAATGAAACTTTCAGCATATGATCTACATATTATATTGAATATTTGACAAATTAAAAAAAAAATTAGCTATACTGGCATCTGACTTGAACTTGAATGTTTTTATTCGATAAAAACATAACGGGATGATTTATCGAATTTTAAAAGCAAACTCGACATCCGCGCTGTATATACGGTCAT